GAGATGCATCTGTGTAATGGCAGTTTATGAGAGTTTCTTATAATTCCAATTTTCTTGGACTTTTGGGGGTTTTTTTTGGTTGAAATTCCGCCATACATCAGAAGTCTCACAGTTCTGATTTTTTTTAATGGTATTTTTGGAAACTACCATGGCAAGCAGTGCTTTATGCAGTTTAAATATTAAGCCCTAGTTTGTTTCTACCTCATGTGCATCAGTGTTCAGTAATTAAATATTACTGCCTACTGACTCTTTTCCCATCTTTCAAGGCAATTTTTTCTTCCAATTCTAAGATTTTAAAAGCGAGACTGTTTTGATTAAATTACCCAGTGAGATGATTTTTTTTAAGAGAATTTCAGTTTTGTTTACAATTTTAAAGTCCTAGTCTATCAAAGTCCTAGTCTATCAAGAGCCAAGAAATCAGAATACATTTCTAGCTGAATTGTGGTTTCTAATCCACCAGCCTCTCTGGTGACTATTAACATATGTAGTTACTTAAATTCCTTTTCTCTGTACTGTAAATTTAAATCTATTTTCATTACTCCTCTCTTGTTCCTTTCAGAACTCACAGGCATCTGTTTGTTCACTTTTTGTTCTTCACTGGAAGACCACTGATACAGTATATAATTTAGCTTCATGTCTTGTATCTTTTCTCAGTTTTGGGGGTACTTGTTGCATTTTTTTTCACCACTTAGGTGGTTTTTACCTTGGCCTTTATAGGAGAAGAGTGAAAGAAACTAATCAGCTTTGAAAGTTTTGTTCATGTAACTTCGCATTAAAATTGTGCTTAGGGGTCCAAAGAACTGTTTCTGATGAAACCATTTGTAATGGGAAATGCTCCAATCGATCTCAGAAGGTTTGCTGGAGAAATTTTAGTAAAATTGGTCAGTCTGAGATAGAGGTCCACAAGGAATTGATTCTCCATATGTATTTGAATAAAGTTACTCTGCTGAACAGTGAATACTATTGTCTTGAATTGTAAATCCCAAATGCCTTGAAAGGTGGTTTTTGAATAAGCCCTTATCACTGATGATGCTCTGATATTTACTAGTAGTGAGTTGTGGTTTCTCACCTTAGTTGAATGCATCCCTTGTGAAGGAAGGATGAATGAACTTCAAAAGGAAGTGGTAATTATGGTAATTGTGTTGCAGCTGTTAGCAGTAAATGTGTGTATCAACATATATGCCTATATGTTTATGCACATTGGAGAAACAGAAAACAGTGTTCTTTTGAAATATTGAAGCTCTTCTGTTTTAGAAAAAAATAAAATTTTAGGAGGCAGAGATTAGAGGTGTAAGAGATCTAAAGAAATAATCTTTATACATATTTTTGTCTGTAAATAAAGCTACAGCAGTTTACATATTTTCTTAATTTAATAATGAAAGTATTTGAAGTAAGAAGCGGTGGGGTGGGAGGGGAGGGGTGCGTTCCAGCTCTTGCTGAAAGTGTTCCACAATGAGTTAAATCTTCTACTACAGGAAAGACTGGTCAAAATATTCTTGTATGTATACATTTAATAGAGTTTATTAATGTTATTAATAGTAGATTATCTAGGGAAAGTGCTCATACTTGTATGAATAAAAGATACCTGTTTTGAATTTCAGAGATGCAAAAAAGTATGGGGTAAAAGAATTCAAGGTATATCTTTCCAAAAGTGTCTGAAAAGGTGTCAGGATTTGCTTTTCTTAAATTTCAAATATTTGTGATGCATCCAATATAAGATTAAGAGCTCAAATCTACAATAACTTCTCTTTTTTGAATGGACTGGGAGCAATTAACTCTGCTCCCAGTGCAGAGGTGAAATACGTGGTCTCCATGTGAGTGGTTTAGTCATGGTTTTTGTATAAATGCAGTTTATTTTAACATAATTTTATCATTCTTAGATTTCTTGAATAAATAAAATAAATTATGGCTGACTTTTAGCCATAATGGTGCCTCTAAAGTAAAATATTTCAGATAAAATTTTTCATATTCATTTTACCAATAACCATTAAAACCTTTCACTCTTTAACTGAATGAAAGATGTAAACTTTAACAGTTTTATTGGTGTTGTTGCCAAAGACCAGTGACCTGAATAATGAAAAGAAAATATTTGCTTGATTTTTTTGAAAGACAGTAATATTCATGTTTTTACCTTAAGATAAGGAATAGAAAACCTTTAAATATTATCAGGTTGCTTCTCTCTGTAATACAACCACAGTGCATTAAGCAATTGTACACAGCTTTTTGTGTGACAGTGTTTGCAATGATACAGCTTAAGTGAGGTGTAGCTATTTTTTTTCAAATAAAATCTACAGTTTTTATAGTGGGATATTATTTAAAGGTGGAGTTGAGTGGTACATCAGAAGTCATGTGATTTAATTAGATTAGTGAGTGCTTTTGTGTATGCACAAGAATTATGTCTTGCTTTGTATAACTACTACAGTCCTCCTGAAATAGTATGTCGAAACAAAATTTTACCTCATCAAAACTCCTGCATTTTAGGTGCTGAAAATCTGCCCTGTCATTGCTAGCCTCCTCTGTCTTATTACTCTACACACACATAATGAACTTAAAATACATTGATTCAAGAAGTTAAAAAATGTATATATTTTGATACAACAATAGATTTGTTTAATCCAAATACAATTTAAAAAAAGCCTGATGAAATATAATAATAATATGACAGTTCATAAGACTGAAGGTTATGTTTACCTTTACCTTTTGTTACAGGTAAATTTGTCATACGACTAATTAAAGTTGTGAAATATATTTGTAGCTATGGGAAGATGAAGTTTCTGGAAATATTTTTTGCACTAATATGTTCTTTGCTTGGCAGATAATTTAAATTTATTGAGGATTTGCAACATTACTGAAAAAATTATTATATGCATAAGGTGTCCTTTTACTTGGAGGCATAAGAGTTGAGGAATTCAATTGTATAAGAAGAATAAAGGAAAAAAGATGTGGTATTCTGTCGATGGATGAGAATGAGGATTTATTTTGAGCTTTGGTCTTCAATCATCTCTCAATCTCTATTGTTTCTGACAGAGTTCTTAACAGTCTTCTTTCACAGTACATGAGGAGTTCTTAAAAAAAATTGATATCATTTCTACTCTCTTCCTAATTTGTAATGGGTTGAGACTGAGAAGAGGGTTGGTTTAGCTATGTTTTTTTATTCCATGAATGTAATTTTTAAAAAAACCCTAAAACAAACCAACAAAAACACTTATTGAGGTTAACCAAAACATTTAAATTAAAATCTTTCTCTGAAAGAAGACAGCTTCTCTGAAAGAAGCAGAAATGTAAATTGCCCTACCCAAGTCTAGGGGACGTTCTCAGAAAGTCTTGCTCAAGTTCTTAATGACTCTGAAAGCTAATCCAGAATATGGGTAACTATTATATTGTCTAGTAATCTAGGAGTCTTCAGCATGAAACAGGGCAAAAAAAAGCATCCAAAAGCATTTTTGGTTGTGATCACAAATGCACATTGAAAATTATTGATATACTTGGAAGTCATGATTTAAACAATACGGCAGTGCAGGAATTTAAGGAGTTAAAAGGAAAATATTTTTTTTTATGGGAAGCTCATTTGATATATGGCAAGTAATCAAAAAGTTCTTGATATAAAAAGCTAATAAATCCTCTGATTTTGTTTATTCAATTAATGAGAAGCTGGAGTTGACCTTTCATTTCATGCTGATTGTGAGGTAATAGGGTAGCAGTGAAGTGCTGGGAAATTTACTAGCCAAGTTTGATGCAGGCAAACCGAGGAAGCCAGTAAGAAGATCAGGGGGAAATGGTGGCCTGGTCAGGATTCTGAAAGAGATTTGTAGATTGGATGGATGGAGACAATTCTACGTGAAATGGTTTGGTCTGTGAAGGGGGTAATTGAATTTGATGTTTAAGATGTGAAAGCAAAAGAAATAAAACCATGGACAAAACCCTGAAGAATCTGCATAGAAAACATAGAGCTGAGAAGAAGGAGAATCTACTTAGAATAAATACAGAAGGAGTGATTGGATAAGTAAGAAATGGATCTCATGGGATGTATGATCAGATCCCATGAAGGAGTAAACTGCTTTACAGTGGGGTGTGTTACGGAGGTTGAAGATAGAGTATTGGTTCTGTTGTATACAGTTAAGAAGACACCAGAAGTTTTGGCAAGAGCAGTTTTTGTTGTAAAAGCCTTCTAAAGGATGACACAAACAGAGGGAAACTTCAGGAAACAGCTGTAAATACTGCATTCTTTGAGCTTGTCAGTGAAAAGAAGTACAGTGATAGTCCTACAGATGCATGAACCACAAATGTTCTATTATAGTTCTCTTTTTATATATCTTACAATACATAAATCTGTAATAATAATAGAAAATATATATAGGCTAATAAAGTCAGTCTTCAGCTCAGGGCTGATTCTTTTGGTTAATAGCATAATCTGTGTTCAAATGGAAGGCTATGGAAAAAAATTAGTTATTCCATATGTACCTATTAAGAAGATATGGGAGCAGTTGCCATAGTGAATGATGCTAAATTATAATTTAAATAATTTTGTGCTTTTCCTTATAGGAGAAAGAAACTAGTTCCTTTAGTGAATATATATATGTAGAGCCAGTTTTCTTCCCTCATTTTTTCTAAGCTGTGTTAAAAAGAGGCAATTGTGGATGAGAATTTGATAGTTCAGCCTGAAAAATACATTTGAAATGCCCTTAATTATCTTGATTGTGCTTGCAACTGTTAATAGAAATTCTTTAGCAATTATAATGGGAAATAGTTGTATTTTCTCTAAGGGATTTTCAAAATTTCTTGGACAATAATAGCATTAAGAAAAGAAGATTTGCAAAGAATTGATGTTAAATATCCATTGTTTCTTGGTTATGTTTTGTATATTTATTTGTTGTGGTACGTACCTGTTGTTCTAATGTTGGTTTAATCCTCTGTGTGTAAAATTTATGTGCAGTAACATTAAATCTGAAGGAGGAAGCTTGATTGCCAAAAGATAATTTAGTAAATATGTTTTTTTTCAGATACCTTTTGATACATAATCCAACAGAACAGGAGCGATTTTCAGTGGTTTCCGTCAATGTGAATTCACCCAGAGTCAAATTATTGTCTCCTTTGGGAAAACCTGTTACTGTCCAGATTAGTGCTGTTTGGGATGGAGCAACTACAGTATCACATGAAGCTTATCAGGTACCCCACTTTAAGTAAAAAGCATTAAAATATGTTTTTTGATAGATAGTGTAGCTTCATACTTGAAGAAAATGGAAAGTGTACTTCATATACTGGCAATTCTATTCTCTGTAGACAATACTATTTATTCAGTCACTTTAAGTAAAAAACAAAAGACCAAATAAAACCCAAAACAAAAAAAACAAAAACAACCAAAAAAAAACCCAAAAAAAACCCCCAAAAAAACAAACAAACAACACGCAAAAACCTAAAACTCAACATGCATGTGTTTAGCATTATTGTTTCTTAAACTGATAAGCTGTTAAACTTTTGTGATATAATTTACTACATTTAAAGGATCAGTTTCAGCTGCGTGACTGGAAAATACTGGATGTGTGGTTTTTTCCCTCACTTTATCAATTGAGCTGCTTCTTCCTTTAAGCGACTATCTGTACACACAGACACACACTTCTGTATGTTCTCAAGCACTCCAGCTGGAAGGTGTTGTACATGAAATGGCTTAAGCGTTTACATTTAGATGTCCTCTTCCCTTCCAAATACTTAAGCTGGACAGACATCTTCAAGCCCACTTTTTGTTTTTTGTATGAAACAAAGAATTCCTAAGAGTTTTTGGCTTGTACTTCATTATAGAAGATTGTCCTCAATGATCACATCACACATCAGAAATTTATATCATTAAATTTTTAATGAAACTGTAATGGTGTATGACTGCAATAGTAACACTGTATTGCTTTCAGCTTGTGTTTTGATTCCTTTTGACATAGGAGCTTTGTTCAGAATAATATTTCTGTGAAGCTAATTCAATAACTGTCTCTCAGTTGTGTTCCAAAGTGATAATATTGTGGTTAAACCTTGCTAAGTAAGCACTTGCTCACTCACTGACCCAGTGGGGTGGAGATAAAAATTGGATGGGTAATGGTGAGAAAGCTTGTGGGTAAAGCTGAAGCTGTGCACACAAGCAAAGCTAAACAAGGAATTAATTCACTGTGTCCCAGGGCTGGGGTGGTGCTCAGCCATCGTCAGCAGAGCAGGGCTCCATCAAATGGAACAGTGACGTGGGAAGACAAGCACCATCACTCCAAACATCCCCCCTTCCTTTTTCTTCTCACAGTTTTTATTGCTGAGCATCATGTCACGTGGTCTGGAATATCTCTGGTCAGTTGGGGTCAGCTGTCCTGGCTGTGCCCCCTCCCACCTCCTTCTGCACCCCCAGCCTCCTCTTTGGTGGAGCAGCAGAAAGGGCCCTGATGCTCTAGCTGAGATATTTATCCCTGTGTTATCAAAGTGGTTAATACTGAAACCAAGCACAAAAAGTGCTGCTATAAAGAAGTTTATGCTAGCCAAAACCAGCACAATAATTAGTACTTATATTACTTGAAGAACGGGAAGTGAAATTACTTGTCTAGACTTCAAATTCTAAAAAAGTTGCATTGGAGATGTACCTTGTATACTACTCTTCTATGCAGATTATAGCTCCTAAAAAAAGAGACTGCAAATGAGACGCTTTAAACTTAGTTATTTAAATGAATGCATTTTTAAATTTAAATTTCAAAATCAATTGAGAAGTAGAGTCTGTGTGCACTTGATCCACTATACATGCATCTTCAATGAAAAGCAAAAATACCCAATACTGCATATCACAACTAACATTCTTGAAAAGATTAAAAATTGTAATTGCATTAATATAATGGTAATCTTGGTGCTAGGCAAATTAGTCATGCAGATATTTTTGTTTGTTAATTCTTTATATTTATTTATGGACTGTGGGAAAACCCAGCCATCCTAAAATTATTCAAGCAAAACTAGTTGCTCTGAACATTTATGTTCAGTATAAAAAGTTGATATTCTGCTAGTTTTAGTAATGGCTACTTATTTGCTCCCAACAGGTGTCTTTTGTGGCACATCTGCCACCTCTTGGGATTGGAGTTTACCAGCTTCTGGAGGATGAGAGTTCAGAAGCAGTTTTAGCTGACTATAACATATATGTGAGGAATAGCAGACAGGAGAAGCCAGATAGAGTTTTCAAGATAAAAGAGATGCAGCATGCTGTGGATAATATAATCTTGGAAAATGCATACATGAAGCTGTGGTTTTCTGGAATGTCTGGATTACTAGAGGTATGTTATATTTTATTTCAAAACACTACATTTTACTTTTTTTTGCTGTGCTTTATGGAAACCTGACATGAATCTCTGTCCTTTTAGAAAATAAACAGCAAGGAAGATGGTAAAAATCATCAAATGAAGGTTGAGTTTGCTTGGTATGGAACTACCAGTAACCGAGATAAAAGTGGAGCTTATCTCTTCTTACCAGATGGAGACGCCAAGGTAAACTTTCTGTTTGCAAAGAAATTCTAATCTTGAAGTAACTTAAAGTGTTTGGCAAATACAGATTGGAAGAGCTTGTTGTCCCCAAAACTGAAATAAAAGCTGTGTGGCTAGGCATATTGACATGGGCTATTGAAATGATTGGCAGAAGTTCATACTTCCTAACCCTACATCATAGTAAAATTCAATAGAAATTTGAAAATGTGAAAATCTAGAGAATATTTATGATTCGCCCCCAAAAAATTAAGATGCGATCCTTGCCAGAAATCCAGTGGAATGTGGCCATTTATTATCGATGAAATAAGTTAATTTTTACTTTCTATGATGAAAATGTGTACTGATTCATTTCTACATCTTCACTTTTCTGGGTTTTTTGTTGTTTTGTTTTTTTTTTTTTTTTAAATTGTGAATGTGTTACTTCTGGTTCAGAGCTACTTTTTAAGCTGATATTTGCATACTTAGTTTAATATAGTAATTAAGATACGAGTCCCAATTGGTGAATATAAAGACAGTGTAGTAAGAAGCTGTTCTTATTAAGTTCTCTAGGGTTATCTGTATTTTTAGCTGTGTAATTTTTGGATAGCAACAGCATACTCCTATTAGTTTTCAAATTGGAAATTGGGAAATGGCAGCATTCTTACAGTGACTTCATTACCATATGGAGTCTACTACTTCCCTTTTGGAACTGGAAGGGTGGTATTTCAGAAAGCAAAAGATGAAATAATGAACATTTATGAAGCTAGCTAGTTGGCAACATATTTCCTCTGAGTTTCTCTTGTGAAAATTCAAGTTACATACATAAGGCAAGTGATGAGCTCTATGCTTACCATTTTAGGAAATATACAAGAGTAATCATTCTGCTTTTTGGTGGGAGGGAAAGGTGTTTGGCTTTCTTTCTTTCTGTTTTCTTTTCTTCGTTTCCTATTTCCCTCTTTTATCTGTGTAAATCAGTCTGGAAGGAAACAGAACAGTTTCCTTTTCTTTTAGCAGTCTTTCCTAGAAGCACACCTTTTGAGGCTGGTGATTTGACAGGTTTGAACTATTTAGTATATTTAGTCCCATAATAATTTACTTCAGATACATTCATCAGGGTTTCCTTATTCTTCATTTTATGTGCCATTTCGTATTTCTTAATTTTACTGTGTTTTTATCTGTGAATACTTGAACAATATCACGTAGGGTTTTTAATTTTTACCTTTCACTATCTGCATGGTCACACTTTGACTAATTTAATTTTATTTTCTAATTCATCTTTTGCTTTTAAAAATAATCACTAAATCTAGCAGTTACATAATTTTAACTATATGTTTAAGTAATTCGCTTTATGAAAATATTCTGGACAAATTGAGGCAGCAAAATGGTATGGTTTAAACAGAAGAGAGTCTGTCACATGTCTGCAAGCACAATTAGAAAAGAAAAATGAAATTAAACTACATTTTAAGTTAACATTAAAAGGGTGCTGTTCGACTTTTGTAACATTTTATACAATAAAAATGAAATTGTTACACTTCTGAAAATTCTGCTTCATTAATATTTTGCTTCACCATAAGGCTCATTTGGCTTGCATTTTAATAACACTAATTAAATTGTCCCACTGGGAATAACACAGTAATTCTATAGTAGTTTCAAAACCAGTTTGAACTAATGCTTTCTGTCTTAAAAGAAATGCCATCTGTTCAGGGTTCGTACTGTAATGCAGACTGACTAACTTTCTAAGTCCTTGTGTGAATTGGCAATAGGATAGATGGCAGGCAGTTTTCTTGATTTTTGGCTACGTGTTTTGTTGTTTTGATTTTTTTCTTACCTCCTTTACCCTATGTTTTACAGCAAAATTTTCAAAGAATAATCGCTTTTTATGTTGGACTATTTTCCTTTGGTATGAGTAGAGTTATATGTTTTCTTTGCCTTTGTTAACTGATTAGTTTTATGTTTGATAAGTCTTTTGGTTACTTTATTTTCAGTTCTTCAATACTCAGAAATTATTTTGCTTTGTCTGTTTTAATCGTTTGTCTAGCCACAGCGCTGAACTACAACAGTGCAAAGTCCAGAACAGAGGCACAGAATGGGGGCTCCATCCTGCAGGTCTAGAGAGATAGGACAGTTCCCCTACCATGCCTTTGTTTTTCCTGCAAAATCAAAACAGAAAGCAAGGCAAAAAAGCAAGGGAAAAAGGAAGCATCTTAATTTTTTTAAATGTCAGTGCAGTGTTTGGCAGATTGACAGTGTTAATGAAGTTTGGAAGGAAGGGATTTCCTTGGGCCTCACAATTAATATAAATAAAATGTCCTGTTCATGAAGACAAAACATGTTTTTTAACACACTCACTGTGATTTTGTAAAGAATGTCCAACTCATTTTTTGTAGATCAATGGGAAAAAAACCCACAGTATTCAATAAACTTTGAAACAGTTAAATGTCTGTATTTTCTTCTGTATATTCAAGACAAGTCAATATGTGATGACTTCTTACTAGCCCTGCTTGTTATCAATAGGGAATAGAGCAAAGCAGTTTTTTCCAAAGCATCAGATGCTAAGTGTTTGTGGGATCAATGTGAATAGTTGATTTTTTTGTTTTATAAATAATAGTTTTCAGTATCAAAATGATGGGTTTTGGAACACTCAGACTAGGAAATTTTTATTCTCCCTCAGGCAGCTGGTTCTGTGATTCTGTGTATGTACTAGTTCCCATAGGTACTTATGTACTAACAGAATATATAAGAAAACAGATTAATTTTTTCCCTTGCAGGATGTCTAGTGCTAGAGTTGAAATACGTGATATTATCTCAGTCTAACCTCAAACCTTGCCAAAGAAGGGGCAATCTGCTATTGCAGATTGCAGAAACACCTTTTCCTGCAGGCTGTGTCTTGTGATTTTTCTCTTTTTAAATTTTAGACCAATCCAGAACATTTCATGTGTGGTTGAAAACTTTCCCCTGGGCATAGTTTTTTTGGCACCCAGACCAGCAGTGTGCTGCACTACTACTTTCCTGGGCAGACTAAAATGGTTAGGAGTGCTTTACTTGTCCACAAGGGGAAAAGTTAATTGCCCATGCTTTCTGCCTCCAGGCTGCAATATACCATGCAATTTTCTATACAAGCCAGTAAATATTTTGGTGAAGGTGTATCTCCAGTTATTTACACCCTTGGGCGCCTGTTTTGATGTTAAGTATTTTAATATACTGTAGGGATTCATGAGGTATTATTTTGTTCCAAGTATTTTCCCTTAAAATTCCTAGCTAGCTTCTCCCCAGACCTCCTGCCCACTATCTTTCAAAAAAAAGATTGTCTTATTTCTCTTGAACAGGAGTACAGAAAGATGATTTCTGAACCCTTTGACCCATAGTTCTGTTGTCCTGTTTCTGAAAAATACTGATTTCCAGGCTCAATAGAAGCTGCCTCACTAGGCTGCTGGATCTTGTACAATGGAATTCATTCCACTCGAGCTGAGTGGAACAGATATTACAGCAGCTATTTATTTTAACTCTTTAGAAAGGGGTGTCTTCAGACTAGCCACTGGATATGAAAGCAACATATTTTTATTCCAGTTCAAGGTGTGAGTAATCACAGATTACTTCATGCTGGAAGGTCCTTTAGTCCATGCTTGTTTATAAAGCAGACTTAACACCGAATTGAGACAAGGGCTTTGTCAAATCAGTTTTGCAAATAACTATCATTGTTTGTTCTTGCCACATTGTCTTAGACTTTCACATCAAAAGTACCTTTGTATTTCAGATCCGGGACCAGGATCCTTTCACAGACCTGTGCATCTCACCAAGGATCTTTACAATGATACTAGAATAACTGCATATTCAATGCATAAAGATGTTTTCCTGTGTGAAAGCGAAAGCCTGGTTGATTCAAATGTTTTTGGTGGGCAATTATCTCTTGATAGGTTCTGAACTCCTGGTATTTCTTCGGGTAACCATCAACAAATCAAGTTCTAGGATTAGTGCTTTTCTAAGCGCTAAATGTGAATTTGAAGGCTGCCCTGTTCTATCACTGCCATATTTTTACTTCATTTTTCCTGCTTGCCCAATAATCAGGGAACATAAGTCATCCTTGAGAACTTGAGTATACATCATATTGCCACTCTTTCTGTAAGAAAGAACTTTTCTGATCCCCAAAACTTCACGACAGCATTTGTAAGCCACCTTCCTCTTTTGTGCCTTTTCTAGCACTGTGACTGAATTGGAGGCTTGCAAACTCAATGCATGTTCTAGCAAAATTAAGAAAAATTATTTTTTAAAAATTAATTCATTTCAGGCAATATCTGCAAAATAACAGACCCTTTTCCATCAGCCCATCTTTCTGTTTAGTTTGGAACGGTCTGTAATAAGTTGCATTTATCTTCAGAAGAGGAGCTGGTTTGGCTACATGTGCAGCCTGGAGCCTCAGGTGTGTGAATTGAATATTTGTGGCAATATCCCAGAATCTGAGAGCTGATATATCCATCTCATTTCAGCTTTCTATGTATTTTGATAGCTGTTGTCAATATCATACTCATGTTTTGTACTAAAAAACTCAATGGAAAAGAGTTCCTGCAAATGGGTTTAGTTTTTTTTTTTTTAATTTTTGTTTTTTGAAATTACTTCTGGTGTTTTTTTTCTAGGAAGTGCACATTCTTTTGTATTCCTGTCACTCACCCAGTATCTCTCCATTTTGCTGGCTAGCTCCAGTAAGAGCGGAGCAAGAAATGCTCTTAAAAACAACACAAGACCATAAGATCTGTGTTACTTTGATAACAGAATATATTTGGCAGTCTGCTGTCTATGTAAGTGACATTCTCCTAGGTCACAGGTCATTGTCTTGTCCTGATGACCTCAGGTTTCTCAGGTCCTTTTCTGAGAGTTCCTTTAGGTGCTGTTTCAGTCTGTCTTTGCTAGCTTGAGTATCTTCATTTAGCTTTGCCCTGCAGGGAGGATTTTGAAGGGTTTGGTTACTCCACCATTTGTTTGGTCATCCTATTCCTCCTCTGTGGGATTTTTAACTTCTGGAAGCCAGGTAGTCACCGATCAAATGTTTGTCTTCTCTGCCTATATGTGATAGAAAAGCAAATATCAGTCGCTTCTGCCAGAAGAGACTATAGTTACGGATATTGTTAGTTTTTTGTGGAAATAAGAGGTTCTAACCTAAGGTCTGGTCTTCAAATTTCTTTTATCTCAGTGTATTAGCTCAGCTGTCTAATATGCCCCCTGAACACCATACTCCTTCTGTATTTCTCACCTAGCAAATGGATTTTGCATAACGGATAACATTTGTCTGTCTGTCTTATTGACAAGATGAGATCCTATGGAAGTATTCCATAATTTTTTCATGTCGACTATCAAGAAGTCTAAAACACTATTTTGAGGTTTTTTATTGGTTAACTGGATAAGATTTTCTGTAGGAAAAAGCCTTTTCTCGCTAAACCAAACAATCTTATCAAAGCATAAGTAACCGTGGTTTCTCTTCCCAACTGTACAAAATATTCCTGTAGCTGATAACTGCAGAGTTGCCTCTTGTAGCTCTGGCAAAGCTTTTATTAAAGAGTATTCTGAAGCTGTAAGAATAAGTATGTGAATAGAAAAGGCAGGCTTTTTGCCCATGAAAACCCCTTTCAGTTTTTTCTTTTAATCAATACTTCTTGAAATCTTTCCTGTTATACATACGGTTATATGCTCAAAGAATATTGGATATTTACCTGTACTTCTATTCTCTAGTGTATTTTGTCTGTATATATGTGAGCTTGATCTCTGCTCTTCCTCAAGATGCGTTTGTTCTTTGGTGTCATTGCTTCAAGAAAGACCATGCTCTGTCCTTATGGCCTTGCTATATACAGAAGTAAGACAGCCACCCTCTGAGAGCTTTCTGCCTAGATCCCTCTGAATAATGTGTGAATAATGTGCTTATTAATGTGAATAAGCATTTAGGATGTGTATTTTGTGAGTGAAGTCTTTATTTACAGCTGTTTCCCTATTGAAGTAGTTGCATGTGTTGTATTTTCATTTTTGGCTTGTACACTCTCAGTATTTAGTTAATTTTACCTTTGCAGCCATCCATTTATTTCCATTTGGTGCACACAATTTAGTGTGGGATCAATGTCTTTTTTTTTAAAAAGTCACTGCCTAGCCAAGACTAAATACTGTGACTACGTGGAAAGATAGTTTTCTTCATCTCTTTGGTTTGACTGTGAATATGCAAAATTTGCCCTAGTCTGTGGGAGCCATGAGTAGTAAACCATTGTCCTTATTGATATTTCATAATGATTTCCAGCCCTACCCTGCATTCCAGAGAGCTCCACTGGCAACAACTGTGTCTGCTTTTGATGAAGAAAAAGCTTTCTCTTCTCTTTCCAAAGGATATGCAAACTGATCTACACAGCAGAGTAGGGGAAGCTTTCCTTGTGCAGTGTGTACCACTGATGGAAGTAGTCAAACCACGTGCACCAAATTTTGAAAGTACAGTATTTAATTAGTGGTTAGCAGTTACAATTTTTCTAGCAAAAGAGCTCAATCCAGATGCAATATCAGTACATTCATGTCCTTGTCTATAAACCTTGTATCACTTAATCCTCATAAAATACTTGTGAGATGTGTAATGAGACTTAACTAATTTTAGCTGAAAAGAATATAAGACTCTGAAGAGAAGTTGCTGAATTTCAGATTAGGAGTAAATTTTAATCTCCAGTGTTTTAGATCTAGAATGGTTTAAAAACCCACTGTTTTAATATTTATTAAATACTTTAATTTATTGACACTACATTTATGGAAAATTTCCAAACTACTCACTCTGACTTTCTGTTTTCTTTTTGTAGCCTTATATTTTTACAGACCCACCTACCATTAGAGTTGCTCATGGAACAATTTTCTCAGAAGTTGTTTGTTTTTTTCACCACGTGACACATACCATGCGGCTGTATAAAGTCCAGGGTAAGAATTGTGAAATTCTGTCTCTCTTGGCAGTCATTTTACATCACAATGATCTTGGATCCTACCTGCCTTTTTAATGTGTAAATGCATCTCTGTACTAGTGCAGAGTTCATGAGACTGAGGTTGTATTGACTCCAATACACTTTGCACTGTGCACTGTGATTTCTCTCTGAGTGTCATGCTAGTCATTAAGCTGGTATACTTAAACTCAACAGATTTGTTGGAAATACGTCTCCAGACTTTACTGACTCATCTGAATGCTGTAACTGGCTACACATTTTGAAAATCAGAAAAAACAATGAAATACCTTGGAGAGAATGTAGGAACATAGTTTCTTTCATAGTTTCGCATTTACTGATGGAAGTACAATGTATATCAGTTGTCTTAATAGAGAAATCTGGTTTACTTCACAACTTTAGGCTTTAGTTATTTGTTACCTCCCTTTGTATGTCCTTTTTCTGCTTGGGAGAGCTCATGACAGAATTGTCTCTGTCTGTTGAGAGGCACCAGCAGCAACATCAACTTTTTGGCTCTTAGGACATAACATCATACCAGTTTTCCTTTATGTCCTTCAGTTTTCTTTTTAAGTTGCCTGTTTCTCTACTGTTCAGCTACTGATTTCCAAGTAAACAGTAATTTTAGAAACTCTCTACCCTTCCTTGATGGAATTGGCCACTGAAAAACTTGATGGATTTGGCCATGGAAAAATATAAAAGAGGGAGGAAATCATGGTGCGATTGTTTACAATTATTTTCATAAGGAAGCTCAAGTTAACATGCTTAAGTGTATCTTTCTGTAATTAAGAAACATGCATTCATTATTTATATTTACAGGAATTATTCTGAAATAAAGAAGCACTGATTAATGTTTTCACTTGAAGGAACTTACATGTTTTGTATTACCGACTTTACTGTAGGAGTCAAAATTGTCTTCATGTTTTTTAAAATCCTATCTATCATATTTAATTATTTTTCCTAAACAACTTCTAAAACAAAGTTATAAGTACTTTGAAAGCCTTGCTTGCTCTTCTCTTTCTTTTAGGTTTCAAAAATAGGAATGACATCATCTGTTTGATTTTTCTTTTGTTTGTTTGTTTTTTGTTCTATTTTAGTTCTAGTGTATTTCAATCTAGAACTAAAATTGATTCAGATGCTTCATTTTTGTGACATGTGTACATTGAAGGGTGAAGTTGCTGGAGTTGATACATATGCCAAAAGCTCATCAGAATTCAATTCCCACTGATACAGTATTTTTGGATCAAACATTAGCCCACACTCCTTAGGAACACAAGCCAAGAGTTTGCATTCTTTGCTGAACATCCTAAGGAAACACAACATATATTCAAGACATATATATATATATATATATATATATATATATATATGTATATATGTATATATATATGTATATATTTGTTTTATGTGACAAATTATTAAAATCATCTTATATGAAAAAAGATACTTTGAGGTCAAGAGGTACCAGGTTGCCAAGAATGTGCAGAAAAAGTTACGTTCCTGTGTGACTTTTAGTGAATTAAATTTCTCAGCAAGGGAAAAAGCCTGAAGAGCCTTTTTTTTTTTTTGCTAGGAAGAGGTTGTTCTTTTAAAGTGGATTATTCTGTAGTACTCCTTTTTCTTTAATTTGCTATTAAATACCTGGTAGAAGTATTTCAGTTCACAGAAAATGAGTTGTCAGTGAAAATCGCTTGCTTGCCAATTCCTAACACTTAAATTTATCTTTCCTTGTGAGTATACTGTCTACTTTTTTCCTTTGGTTTTTATGACAATTTTTAATTCATCACAATGTTTCAATACTTACGCCATTACAAATGTAAAGTGTACACGGGTAAGTCCTGTACCATGTTTCTACTTGACAAGGAAAAATGATGAAAAATATATTTTAAATATTGTCTGTTTGCTCTTTGGTGTTTTTTTAATCTAAATTTCTTAAAGTGTTATTTTTCAAAGTTTAAAATTTCATAGCTTTGCATCATTGTTTTGCTCAGGTCTATTTCCTTGGCTTTGTAGGGGAAATTATTTATATAACATTACTTCAATTAAAACAAGATATTTTGAAGTCTTACTAGATATGTACAGTAACAAAGCATGTGGGAAAAATCACTATGTGTATAAATGCATTTTGATTTCAAATCAGGATCTCATCTCCTGTTGTAACCTACCTGCTTGCCAAGGGGTAGCAAGACTGATTGTGTGGCTAATCCAGCTGTTAGATAGTACTCCCAACTGCTACATCTTCAGCAATTTTGGGGAAAATAGCTTTTACCACTTTTGGCTTTAAAATTCTGTTGATTTTGGGCAAAAAATACTCTGGGTTGACAGCTCTGTTCAGTAATTGACCACCGAGTGATTTTTAACTTCTGCTGCCATTGGCATCTTTTTTTGATATTAGCATGATTTTGTTAATCTTTTTATCAAAAGCTTGTCGTACTTTATTTCTTCATAGTTTTATTTTTGTATACTCTCAAATTATGCAGTACAAAAATTATGACAGTCTAAATTAAATTAGTGTATTCTTTAACGTAACATGCTTTTAAATATCTGGAAAAAATACTTGAAATATTTGGAAAATCTATAACTGGGAGCATCAAAAGTGGAGCATATAAATCTGCAATTTCCAGACTAGGTTTGGGAAAATAGAAGTAATTATCTGAACGAATTATTTTTCGTTTAGCACTGAAGTTTAATAACCGTTGGTAAATGTTAACATTTGAACAGTTGCTGTACTTCTGCAGGTGGCATTTAGATTTTAAAATAGATGGGGAAACAAATACATATCTGTGTTCTGCTTGGTGCAATTTTTTTTGCAATCATTAGTCCCATTAGACTACAGAAAGGGTAGAAGTGGTGAGGCTGAATGATGGTATGATTCCACTCCAGACTGTGACTTGAACTGTTTGAAAAGGTCAGGTTATTATTAAAGGTAATTAATTTTCAGTACAAGGCACTGTAGGGAAAAAACCCAACTCACTGAACAACTTGTCTGAATTTTCAGACACCTAATCCGTCTTTTAATAAATATGAACCTTTTCCCTGTCAGCAAAGTTTTGTGTCCTGCATGTGATTGTATCAGTTCCAATTTCTTAATTCACTGTCCTTAAGGAAGATTCTCACTCATTTGATTAAAGGAGCTGTTCAAAGTTTGCTGCTCAGTTGAATAGTTCTATTAAGAATCTAGTAACTTCATTCTTGTCTGGGAATGGGGACAGCTGCTTAAGAGTGAAGGGGAGCCAGATCTTGCTCTAGCATATTTATTTAAAGATAGCACTTAACAGTTGTGTGCTGTTCCCTACTGGTTTACTGGAACCCACAGTGGTTCTTGCCATGTATTGCTCCTGTTCCTCTTCAGTGCTCTCTTTCATACTGTCAGTTCAATTTGTAGCAAATTAGAAATATTGCTATATCATCTGTTGCATAACTGAACTGTCTTCCAGTGTCCGATTAGGTGTAAGAAAAAACAAAATCTAGATCACTGTGTCCTGGGAGCACAGTCATTCTTATACATGTAGAAATCACTTTCAGAGATTTTAAATGCATCTTTTTCATGTAGGTTTGGAAGGTCAGTCTCTTGAAGTTTCCAATATTGTGGACATAAGAGGGGAATATAATCGTGAACTTGCAATGAGAATTTCATCCGACATAAACAGTCAAAATAGATTCTATACTGATCTTAATGGATATCAGGTAACTACCATCTTTTAATTGTAAAAGCTTAGGTTTTGACTGTCTAAATGTAAAGACCTTATATTAAACAAACTCACGTGTTAAACTGCACTAATCATTTAAAAGGAGAAATGCTTTTTAAAAATATACCTATTATAAAATTTGATGTAGACTAGACTAAGAAGTAACTGTGTGCTTTTAAGAAGTTTGTTGAATATTCCTTTAAATTATTTTTAAGAGAAGAATTATAATACAAGAAGTTGTGACAAGTCACCATGTACTTAGTTAATTTTATATATGCCTGACTTCTTTTCCTCTGCTTTGTTTGTTTAGTTAAAACCCATTGGATAACACAGTGTATAAGGACCACACCTAGTGAACAGCTTCTTGCTGCTGTATTGGAAATAAATGATGTATTTTTGATGTATTATGCTTTTTCTATTGGTAATCCATCTGAGGAAAGGGCTATTGTCTTAACTTGAACTGTGCAGCACACATAAAAGAGAGAAAAATTGTTTTTCCTTACCTTCCTTTCTTGCTAATTATAGTTTTGCAAATACAGGGAAACCATGACTCCTGAGAAAAAGATGACTGATTTTCCAGTTACTGCATTTGCTGGAGACAGTGAATATTTAAATGTGAAAATAATTTTAATACAGCTACTCATTTGTTATGTACCATTCAAGAATTTAAACATCACTTCAATAAGTGCCCATTATAAACCAACAATTCCTTTTCTCCTACCTTAAATCTATTCATTGCTTGCTCTCTAGAGGGGAAATTTTTTTCTCTCATTTTGTAACTTGATTATTCCTTTTTATAGATTCCTTTTTTGTAGGTTCCCTTGATGAATCTTGCACAATTTTTTAATATTCTTTGATCTAAAAGTTCACTGAAGCTACCATTTCCAAAGTGGTAATTTTGACCACAAATCTCAAAAAAGCTAAATAATACAGTTGAGTGAATCCTTTTGTGATGGTTGTTCTTCCAAAGCACATGGGATAAATGTCTGAAAATGTCTTTGAAATTTAATTGCATAAAAAGAATTTATGTTTTTGAAATTTGTGTTCATATTGCAGATCCAGCCTAGACTGACGATGAGCAAGTTGCCTCTTCAAGCAAATATCTATCCTATGACTACCATGGCTTATATCCAAGAAGTTGGCATTCGTTTGACACTTCATTCAGCTCAGTCTCTAGGTGTTGCAAGCTTGAAAAATGGTAAACATAAGATGAAAGATATGACAGAGGTCTCTCCTTCATGATATTCTGAAATAGTTCATTCAGAGATTACTGTACTTACCTACAAGCATTTGAAGAGAGGAAATAAGCTTCTCCAACTCTGACAAGTTTTAGAGTATGTATGTAGAGTATGTATCCCACATGAAATCCTGTCATCTTCAATGAAAGATCTCTCTCAAACTAGAGGCAGAGGAAAAAGATTGGAAAAAAGAAAGAGCAATAAATTGTCAGAACCAGCTATTTTTCACTGAAGAACTCTGGTGGAATGAAATAACAGAACTAAAGAGTTTATTCTTTTTCATTCTGCCCAGGTAGGAGAGGACTTAAGAAGGATGCTGATCATGTTTTTTGTTCTGTTTGTTTTCTTTAGTGTAGACAGCACTAGTCTTAAGGTATATGCAGCATAGCCTAACTTGCCTCTCAAGGATAAAAAAGAGCAGCTGTTTTGAAGATTACTGTTAGTGAAATAAAGGATAAATATGACCCTGGGTAAGAGTTAATGTACTTCTGAAGCAAAATGATACCTCACAAATTGAATGGTTAGTTTGACAGAGCTGATGAATATGTTGACAAGAAAAATCAAGTCATATTAAGAATTCCAAAAGAGACACAGTCTTGCTCCTTGGAGCAGAAAAGGGTATGATGAATGGCCTGGAGGACTGGAAATAGAGGACAGTTATTCATTCTGTCAGAATGGGGGCAGTATTCAAATAAAGCTAGAGGTAGTGGGCAAAATAAGGTATTTTATAACTTAATATGTATAATTCCTTGCTATAATATATGTTGTCAGTTTAAATTTATATGGTTTTGGACAACAATGGAAAGAATACTTGGAAGAGAAATAGTCCATCAGAAACTGCACCAAAACCTACTTCAGTTTCTTTTAAGAAGAATGTCATAAATACTCTGTTATTACAAAAGGTGAATACCATGCTGGATTGGTGGGAATATTAGCAAACCTAATTCACTTTAGGGTAAGGAATTGACACTGACCTATATAGTGATGCTGTACTAAAATCACGGTGGAAAATACCAGCCTTTTCTCCCAAGTCTACCAGATACAAGACCCAAACCACATTTTTTTCATGCCTCCCCTTGCTGGAAACCCAACTCCTATTGGCCTAATCCTGTGAATGACCTTGACACCACCACTGTTGTTAAGCACTCATTAAATGGGTATTAGAGACTAAATTAGTCTGCAGAGGCTGTATTACCTGCTAATAGTGTCTGTATTTGTTCTTTAACAATCTTAGTCTCTGCATCACAAGACAATGCACCATCTAAATCCACAGACACTCCCACTGTCTGCCATCAAATTGGGAAAGTTAAGGGTAGCACTGTTCAACATTTTGCAGTTAAGCATCAGGGGGGAACTGACCTTCTGTGAGCACTTGTTTCAAATCTCTCAGATGACATTATATGCTTTTCACCTACTCCCGTTAAATGAAAGAGAACAGATGTATCCCATACCTAACATGACATTGATTTCTTGACCATTTCACTCCTTGACAAACTGTATCATGTAATTTAAGATACACCAATGTCAAATATTTACTCTGTGCCCACTAAGAAAAAAAGGAGAATGAATTAATCTGATTTGTTGTCATTAAGTAATATTTCATTAAATTACTAAATTGGCTACCTTGTCCTGAAGGCATGTTGGATTCAAAAAAGAACAGAAATGAAGCTGAAGGTTCAGTGGTTGCTGAGTGTCACATGTTTCGTGATATTTTTTCTGAAAGTCTTTCAGGAGCTCAGAGGAATCATGGAAGAAAATTAAAAAATCTTATAGTTTAGACAAGCAAATCTCAGTAGCTGTGTGCCTGTGTGTGACACAGGTGTGCCTCAAGGCACAACCCACCATCTGAAAGTTACATGAACAGTACCTTAGTTAAAGATAGGGGGTTTTTGTCTTACTCATTGTCAGCTGATTTCTGTCCTGGATAAACAAGATGTGTTTGTACTTGAGGGAAGGGAAGAATAAGTATTTGAGAAAATCGGGTATTTGTAGAACACTGAAATATAAAAAAGACTGCCTTAGTAAGCAGCCTTTTCTAGAAGCTTAAATTGTCAGCTTCTTCAGGATGCAAACACTTCAGTCTCTCAGTTTTATTTAGGAAACACGTACACTTGTTTGAAGATTCACTGTGCAAAAAACATAACAGCCTTAATTATGTGCCCCAATCTGGTTTCCTTCTGGAGACAGACACTTGAAAAAAACATGAACTTCATCGTCCAGGTTACATATATTTTAACATCATGCTTAAAGAGTTATTTTGAGTGGCCGTGCTGCAGTTCAGAAAAAAAACTCAGAATTTCATGTTCAGTGCTTATCCAGTTCAAAGTTCTTTCCTAGTCCCACAAATGAAGTTATTCATACAAGAAAGAAGTGATCGTGAGTATTTCTATACCCCTGTTGATACCTTTTACTCCTTCTGGCTTCAAATGTGAAACAAATGAGTGGAGTACAAGGTGAAGATACTTCCTTTACAGAAGGTCTCTTATACTTGGGAGTGATTTTTATGTTGGATGTTTGATTGCCAAGTATCCTTGTTGCAAGTAGTAGTCAATAGTAATAATTTTTCATATTAAACTTTTATTTAAACTCTGAAAGTAAAAATTGCTGGACATTCTGCAGAAAGGCTTGTGACAAATTTTTTTGAAGGCTATAAACAGCCACAGTCCAGTGGTATTAACTGTTTTTATAATCAACCCTAACAATAGTGATCAGCCCTACTCTTCCAAACTCAAGAGAAATATTATGATTTTTTAAAAATAAGTTAAATTTTAGGGCAGGTTATTTACGTTTAATGGAACACATACCTATTCTTGATACTAGTATAATCCTCATGTTGCTCTTTCAGGTCAGCTGGAAGTGATCATGGATCGTCGGCTTATGCAGGATGACAACCGTGGCCTTGGACAAGGTGTTCAAGATAACAAGATTACAGCTAATGTCTTCCGACTGCTGTTGGAAAGAAGACATGGAACAGATGTGGTAGGATTCACTGTCTGGAAACTTTATGCCAAATAATATGTAAATATTAATTTCTTGCTGCAGCAAAGAACTCAGTAAAAAAAAAATATTTAAGAAATTATTCCATGAGCTGTAGAACTAAGGAAATGTAGCTTCCAAGGAAGTTTTGTCATCTTGCTTTCATATTCTGATTGTAAAGACTTCATCTCTCACTATTCCTCAAATAAATCCTGCAGTACCTACTTCCTCACTCACGCTTTAACATATGAGTGGAGTACCATTGTGGAAGTCTCTTTTTTAATTACTTTTTTACTGAACAACCTCTAAAAAGCTGCTAATTAGTGTGAGTTCTGCTTCTTAACAATGTTAACTGAGTCTAAACAAAGGTTGACAAATAATTTCAGTTGAATGGGTAGAAAAAGAAAACCTCTTATAAACATAATTTTCTCAGAGAATAAGATTCAAATGGAAATATTTAGACACCAGACATAAAAACCTTTTGATTTCATTATGATTCTAGGGAAATTGTGACTATTTTGTTGTAAGTGTTTTTTTTTTTTATTTGCACATATCTTAGTTTGCCTTTTTGTATCCTAGTCTTTTGAATAACCTCAATATTCTTTCCGCTCTTTGCATTTTCTCTCTTTTTTAAAAAACAATTTTGAGAAGGACAAAATCAGAAGTACATATTCATACTGAGGCAGTAGAATCATGATGACAGCACTGAGTATATTTTAAAACCATTGCATAGCTAAAGATGAGAAGTTGTATACCAAGCTCCTAATGAATATGCAGATAAATTATAATATGGTTTATAATGGCTATCATTAACCACTGTGAGAGGATGATAATATCAAGCTTAAAGTTAATTTTCACCATTTAATGATTGACAGTTGGGTTTTTTTTCAGGTTGTATGTGTCATTATGATTTTCTAGATCCTCATCACGTACAATGCACGCTGCATATTAACTGCATTTATCAGTGTCATGTGCAGCTACCCAAGCTAACCTGAGGTCAGCAGCATTCTGACTGTGACAACAAGAAGCATTGCACAGGTTATTCCACCTTTGCAAGAGGAAACCTGCAGAGGGTTCTATACTGCCACCAAAAAATTCCTTAGTACCCAGGGTAATTTGTGTTAAATTAGAATGTGGACCTGGTAATTCTTACCTAAGTAAGAATTATTTGACATGGAAATTTATGTTTACATTAGAAAATAATTTGAAACAACAGAAGCAGATCAAATCAGTTGGTGCCATAGTTCTCGTAGTGACATCGTGTGCAGTCTTGGTGCTTTCTGTAGAACCATAAAACAACTCACTAACAGGCACCTCTGGAACTCTTCCAGTCCAGTCCCTGCTCAATGCAGTCTATTTTTGTATCAGAACAGGCATAATCTCAGTGTGTGTGGTCCGCACACACTGAGATTGTTCTGCAAGGTAACACAGTTCCCCCTTGAGTGAGGCTGGCCAAAAGCTCAATTTCAGAACAGCTGCTGCTTCAGGCCAAACCACTCCATTGGAAAACATTTCAAAGTTACCTCAGAGTAAAGGCAGCCTAAACAACACAGGGATTTTCTAGTTAGTGCAGTATTTACATGTGTCTTGGCACATGTTGGTCCAACTTGTTTGTGATACAAGTTAGGTATCATCTCAGCAACATAACAGTGTAATTCCCTTTCTTTGTTAAAATCATCTGTCCTACAGATTTGAAAATTTCTGTACAAGTTACTGAGAATCTTTCAAAGAGAAGGGGCGGTTTCCTGCTGCAATCAAAAATTTCTGAGGTGCTTTGGAAACCTGTGTTCTAGCATCTTTCTTCCCCTCTAACTCTTCATGCTGAGCTTATAATGGTTTTAAATGGCTGCAGAGGACTTTAAAGGCAATTGGTTCTTACACACTCAAAGGGACTTCGCAGAAAGTGGAATCAGAACTGTGGGGGAGTAGGCACAGTCCAAGAGGTGCTGATCCAATATACACAAGCCCCAGGAGCCAAACAAAATGTTTTAAGGAAGCATTTTCTTTCTGTTGTTGTATGTGGAATTCCCCTTTCATATATTTAGAATGTTCTAGAATTTTGTTTTTCAAAACGTATCTGAACATTCATAACATTTTCTGATTCATGTTACTATTTCAGTGTTAAAGTAAAGGTAGTTCTCTTTCTGTTAGACATGCAATCATAATTTTTTTAGCCCAGTTACTCAGAAGGTAGTTGTCATAATAGCTTAAAAATAACCATGTCAGAAAAAATCATGATGAAATTATATGCAGTTTATGTATGTGATCAGCTACAGTGTGACTCATACACTGACCCTGATTTTGTTGTCAAGGCCTATTTTATTATTTAATTCAGGAGCCACTGGAGGAGAACGTTTTGACCATTTGGCACCTTTGGCATTACAAGCTTTTCCTAATGTATGTTCCAAAACATTTCATTCTATCTTTTCTCAAAAACAATTTTGAAGAACAGGATGCTTGCTGCTCTTTGTGAAACTTCCCCGTAAAAGGAGAGCATGTGAAGTGTCACACGTCCAGGTCTTTAAAAATAATTAAAATAATTGTGCATCACTGGTGACATTACTGTAGAGAATTTTTTTATTGTAGTATCTACCAAAAATTTCTTTTCATTTATATCTCTAAAATACTTCTTTCCTTCCCCAGCCCCATCCTGAACAGTAAATTTTAATGGCAGAATGTCCTGAAGTGTAAGACTCATATGTGTAGTGGGTGGAGAGAGTGAAATTCTTAATAATTCTTCATAAATGTTGATATACTCAGTGTATATTCTAATAGGTTCTCAATCCTAACACTATCTGCGTTTTGGCTCTTGAATTCTAGCTCATCTAATCAGTCATAACTACTCGTTCAGATACTGTCTCTGAAAAAGACTTCAGGTTGATGTGTTTTGCTGAAGCTTTTTTGGTATTTGTGGGGAAGGAAGAGAACTGGGGGGGAGGTTTGTGTTTATATTTTCTGCTTGGTTGTTGTTGGGATTCTTTTCCCCTAAGATGGATGCTAAAGTTTTATGCACAATGACAGTATTGTTTGTTAAGTGAGCTGTGTTTGTTGTAAGAGCAGAGCAAATCTCCTTTCACTTATGTTATACTCATCTCATTTATAGCTATTATTATATAGCTATGTTCCTCAGGCTTCAGATTTTTTTACTGTATTTTGGATATAATTTCTACTTATATCTTTTTATTCTACATGTAACCAATCCTTCTTATGTTCATTTTCTCCTTGCAAGCATTTTTCAGCTTGAATATCTCTTTGAATAGTCTTCTAAGACTGTCTTCTCTTTCTTCAGAATTTTAACCAAGAACTAAATTAAAGTCATTTTTAAATTGAAGGGATTAATATTTAGCTGAGAATGAAACTGAATACTGTTTATTAATACTTGTCAAAATACTAAATGTTTCTGTCTTTTTGAAAATACAGACTACTTTATATTTATTCTAAGTCTTGGAAAAGTAATCATTAATATTCTTTTATTTTCTGAATCCCAGCATGTTATATCAGTATAGAAGTGAAAGAAATAGGATTTATAGGAAGTAGTAATATATTATTTCATCAAAGACGTAGCTGGAGAAAAGATGTCATGCCAGGCAAACACTTCCTTCTTCAGACTCCTATTTCATACCGTCTCTTGACTTAGTTAATTTGTATAACTGGATTTATGGACTAGGCTTGAGCAGAGAGCAGAGGATTCAGTGGCTCAAATGGCTCTTACTTTTGGGTGAGGTTGTTTAGAGGAACAATAATACAGTTAATAAAATCACAAATATGTTGGACATAATCAAACTGCCTTTCTTCTACCACATATAACTACTCCTTTTTCTTACTAAATCTCTGTAAGTACCCACTTTCTCTGAAAATTTATGGTAGCGATATAGCCAGCCATTTTTGTTCTGATTATTGTGTTGATTTCACACCTTATTGATGTGCTTATTTATAATGCATGTGCATGTTTCTCACTGTAGCTATATATTACACTGTGCATTGCTATGCTACATGTAACCATACTTTAGAAACTTATAATTATCTCATAATTAACTTGATGTTTTAAAAAAGCAGAAACTTGACATTGGTTTAATTATTACAATTTAGATGTTTTCTCAAGCCCATGTGTGACAAGTTCAGATACTCTAATATAATTTTTAATTGTAAGTGCCACAGTAAACTCATCAAATATGTATAAAATTGTTTGAGGGTTTATGGTGGCCACAAAAGAAAAAAAACAGGTCCTTTTCCTCTTGTTTTCACACAAAATACAATGCATCTTCTTTACAGCCTTACCACATATATTTACTAAGGGTAAATATATGTGGTATAAAACACTAATTTCGTATTTCATTTGAAGAGATATTCAGGTGCATGTTACTTTCCAGTTTTGCTTAAAACACTAATTCATTATTTCTCCTACCACTGTATAGTTCATACTGTATTTTCATATGGAGGAACTTTGTGTTTACTAATCAAGAATAATGTTTCCATCTCTTATTTATCTACACATGCCATCTGTTTTCAGGCAAGCACTGTCATTGTTTTTATGCCAGGACACCTTACAGCGTAATTTCCTTCAATTTTTTTTTTTTTCATGATACAGTGACAAAGATGTGTTGCAGAAAGCTATTAAATAAGGACTGCTTTGTCTGCAACCTGCATCCCTGTGTTCCTGTTATGAAACATTCTCATCCTGTAACAGGGCAGAAGCCACTTGTAGCTGACTCCTGGGTTGAGCAAATAGTGCAGAGGACTGCCTTCCTCTGAGTTCTGAACATACAGCTGTGTCTCTTTTATGTTCTTGTCATGTAATTATGTACACCTCAACAGTGAGTTACTTTCCTTGGTTTGGTTTTATCTGTCTCCATTGGCATGTACCTGTCTGCTGGCTCTGCTTAGAAAGAATTTTACCTCAGTATTATGCATAGTGTAAAACCTTGGTCTCTCCACTTGTAGGTCATATAATTCATCAAAGGATGAGGGTAGGCCACTTAATTGTCTTTTGTGAGCTTATCTGA